AAAAAGTTCGCCATATAGGAAAATTCGTAATATGAAGGTTCGTTATATAGAGGTTCGACTGTATATATATATATATATATATATATATATATATATATATATATATATATATATATATATATATATATATATATATATATATATATGTATGTATATGTATATATATATGTATATATATATGTATATATATATGTAAATATATATATATATATATATATATATATATATGTATATATATATGTATATATATGTATATATATGTATATATATATATATATATATGTATATATATGTATATATATGTATATATATATATATATGTATATATATATGTATATATATGTGGGAGACAACAAGGGGTCCAAGACGTTTGTCTTTTCTTCACATTTATTTTAAAACGTAACAAAAATTGATAAAAAAAGGTAGCTATTCTAACGGATAGGTTTACTTGATGCGATGACGGTAACGCCTGCTCGCGCACCTCAGTCTTTCTTTTTTTTCCCGTTCTCTTAAAAGTCCAAGAGTTTCTGTTCTGGTTTGGATTTGCTGAGCCTGCGCGCGAAGACTGCGTTGTCTGCTGACGATTGGATTTCTTGGATGCCACATATATATATTTGTATATATATATGTATATATATGTATATATAAATATGTATATATATGTATATATATATATAAGATATATATATATATATATATATATATATATATATATATATGTATATATATATATAAAAGAGATTCGTTTAAGTTCCATATAATTAAAATTCCCGTATGGAACAGTAATTTTCATATATCAATTTACAGAAATATCATCTTGAATTTTTTATTTAGAAATGATAACTTAACTACCCACAAAATAGATAAATACAATAATATAAAAAAAAAAATTTATTCAATGTTGTTTAGATCATGAATACCCTTTTAATTTCTTGAGATCTTATATTCATCACAAATACATTAACCGTCTTGCTACTTCGAATTCCAAATCCACCACACAACAATAGGTTTTCAAAGTCAGCATGTTAGTGGTCTTGCTGTGAAGATTATAGCATAACACTCATATCACAGTTTACATTTTTTCCGCACACATCTTAAACATCTTACACATTGTTGACAACCAACAAATTAGAGCCTAGCAAATTTACATTTTTGATAATCAACCAATTCAAATTTTACCATATTTGATTGTCGTCATTTTATACTTGTCTTTGCTGGCTGGTTTAAAAGTCAGCTCAAAAGATGTGTTTATGTTTTTTCGAAATTTTTTAACTTGGTGAATAATTGACTTTCATTAATGGCAAGATACTTGTTTCTCTTCAAAAAGCTTTGTGAGTAAAGAAATTTTGTTAAATTATTTTTTGAAAGATACTTTTCTTATGTAATTGTTCTTGTATTTTTCTACTTTTCTTACATAATTATTTTGTGATTTTGTGATTTTTCTGCATTAAGAGTTTGGGAGAGTTTGCTACATAATAGTAGTGATTGGTTTTATCATGCTCTCTGAGTTATACTTTCTCTGAAGTTTTGTTTATTTTATTTGGTTTTCCTACCGAGTTGCAAAGGGGGAAGGTTGGCGCCTTCAAACTAGTTTAACCCCCCACTTATTCGGTTCGAAATTGCTTTCTGACTCGCTAGGTTCTTCTTTTGTAGTTCTTTTATTTCTCTATAATTTTGTTCTTCATGTTCAGTTTTCATATTTTTATTGCGCTATTTCTTGTTATGTTCTTTTATCTATTATTTCTAGTTTTTGATAAATAATACATATTTCTTTATATATATATATATATTTATATTTCTTGTTCAAATTTTTAATCGTTAATAAAATACTACTTTGTATTCATCCATTCAAGTTCAAATACATTTTTTAAAACTTGTAGTGGATGACACTTGATGTTACTACAGTTTTTTTCAAATATTAATTCATTAATTTTGTTTAGTTAATGAATAAATAGTAACAAACAAAAATAATCGTCCAACAGCATCTATATAAAGGAAAATCGTTCGTTGTTCCCCTATAGCGCAATGTATAGCGAGTTGGATTTGTAATCCAAAGGTCGTGGGTTCGAATCCCACCTGTGATGGCCTAATTTCTAAGAATGTGAATTTTTTTTAATATACTATTTCATTAGAATAATTAAATTTAATCAACGAAAAAAAAGAAATAAACAAAAAAATAGTCCGACACCCTATATAGGAAGGAAAATGGAAAATTACAAGGAAAATTGCTTTCTATTTTGCCACTTAATATTACGATTCAGTCATATGTATATACATATTTATATTAAATGTAACTATTTAATAAAAAGTAGCTAACATAAAAAATATTTTGTTGACCTAAGTAGGAATTGACTTAATATATATATATATATATATATATATATATATATATATATATATATATATATATATATATTTGTTACTTGTTATCTTTTTTTACTATGCAACCCCTTCTAACCTCGCAAAACTTTTTACGTTAATAAGTGTTATATTCTTAACAACAAAATTATAATTAAATTTGTTATTTTATATTAATTATATATTTATTTCTATGATTTCTGAAACGCAAGTCTTACAATTTTTGCCTCGTGGACAATTTACATAAATGGGCTAAGAAATGTCATGTCTTGGAACGACGAATGGAAACAAATATTTTCTGAAGAAAAGAAATTTAACCTTGACGAGCCCCATTGCTAGAAACATTATTGGAATGACTCCAGAGAAGAACTGAAAGAATGCATCAATCTACCGGTAGAAAGAGAATCAGTAATAGTTTGGAATTGCGGGAATCAGAACTAAATTTCGGGTTGTATGACACTACAAAATATCAGGCTATGTTACATGATCAAATAGTATGTCTGGGACTATATTTTAGGAAATATTAAGAGAATATTTCAGAAGGTTCTTGCTATTTATTTAAATCCACACAGTAATAGTTTATAAAAGAAAAAAAAATTCATTCTTTGTAAGGAAAAGTTTTGTCATGACCGATTCGAAGTCGAGATGTGCGCCCCCTGGAAACACTTTGGGATATTAGTAGCAAATATTCTTCATCCAGCGATGAACTAAAATAACCATTAAAAACGAATGGAATAAAATTTCCAGACTTGATCTTAATCACCTTGTCTTTTCAAAAAAAAAATGTGCTTGAGAATATCAAGAAAAATAAAGGACGAGTATCACATTTTCATTTTTAATTCAATTCCTGCTATTAGTTCACTCTCTCCCTATATTTATTTATTTATTTATTTACATATCTTGTTCAGATTTTCAATCATTAATGAAATACTTTTTATTATTCCACTCAAGTTCAAATACATTTTTTAAACGTAATGGATGGCACTGGAAGTTAGTACAATTTTTTCAAATATTAATTCATTAATTAAGTTTAAAATGAATAAATACACTGCTGGACAATTGCTAAGGACGGATCACAAATTGCTATGTAGTATAACATTAAGCGAGACATGAGGCCTAGTAGGATAAAATATAGTTGCCACAATGTTCAGAAATTAGAATAAAGAATATTTATTGTTCTGGAAAGTACAAAAACTTTGAAACATCTGAAAGAAAAAAAAATGTTCATTTGATCTGCATACGGAGAAATGGAACAATGCATCTAAAAGTCAGCAGGCACCTTAAAGAAAGGTATCAGTACGGGATATGTCCACCGTGGAGTGTGATGCAACATTCCACACGTCGTACCATACTTTGCACAAAATTATCCAGCAGCTGTTGAGGCAATTTATCCCATTCCTCTATGAGTGCACGGATGAGGGTGTTCTTGTTTGTCGGAGGATAGTTTCGACCAGCAACTTGCCTCCCCAAAGCATCCCACACATTTTCAATGGGGTTTAGATCTGGAGAACGCGCTGGCCATACGAGACGTTTTACCCTCGCTGTCTAGACAATCCTGAACAGCGAGTGTTCGATGACATGTTGCGTTGTCGTCCATAAAACAAATTTATCACCGACAGCACCACGGAAAAGACGAACATGAGGAAGTAGAACTTCATCAATGTATCGTTGGCCCGTCATAGTCCCATTCGCAACCACGTGTAGGCGCGTGCGGCCATTGATCATGATGCCGGCCCACACCATGATACTGCATGTCGGATATCGGTCCTTTTCCTGGATATTTTCCGGGGACGATAAGCAGTACCACTCGCGCCAGATCAGTTGGTGTCTACAATCCGATGACAGACTGAACCTACTCTCATCTGAGAATAATACGCATGCCCAGTCCTGTTCAGTCCAATTGTGATGCTCACGACACCATTGCAAACGGGCAGTACGGTGCTGTTGGTCAATGGGACACACACAACAGGTCTGCGTGCGTATAGTTTCCCCTCCCCTCAAACGTCTGGCAACAGTTTTTCGGGAGATTTGTTTTCCTGAGGCAGCAAGAAACTGATTTGCCACCCGCTGAGCTGTGGTGCGCCTGTTCCTTTTTGCTGATAGGACGATATATCTGTCTTCTGCAGGCGTCGTACTTCTAACACGACCTCCCCGTGCCGTCTACTACACATTTCAGTAGTTTTATATGACTTCCACAGCCATGAAACAACGCTGTGAGCGATGTCGAACTCCCTGGCAACATCTGTTATTTTTCGCCCTTCTTCGATCTTTCCAATAATTCGGCCACGCATAAAATCCTCTATGTGATGTCGGGAAGACATGCCAATCATTTTAAGTTCGTCTATTAAATCTTTCCTGTAAAACTTTGACTTAAAACAACAACTGTCCACTCGCGTCAAAACCTTTAAAACTCTTATGAACGCTTTCACGTGATGAACAGACGTGGGAAAAAAATTTGCATACTCATACTTCTTCTTACTAATATCCCGCACTTATTCTAATTTTCCACATTTTTGCTTCCTTTCATTTTGTGGATGCTATGGATGACAGTGTTATCCGTCCTTAGCAATTGTCCAGCAGTGTAGTTACAAACATAAAATAATATTCCAACAGCATATACAGAAAGGAAAATCGTTCATTGTGTCCCTGTAGCGCAATGGATAGCGCGTTGGACTCTTAATCCAAGGGCCTTGGGTTCGAATCCCACCTGAGATGGCCTAATTTCTGAGAATGTGATTTCTTTTTTTTTTTTTTTACTATACTATTTTATGAGAATAATTAAATTTAATGAATGAATAAATAGTAACAAAAAAAAATAATAATTCGATACCATATATAGAAAGGAAAATTGCAAGGAAAATCGCTTTCTATTTTGTCACTTAATCGTGTGATTCTGTCATATGTATAATGTCCTAATATAAATATATACATATTTATATTAATTGTAACTATTAATAAAAAGTAACTACTTAATAAAAAGTAACTAAAATAAAAATATTCTTTGTTGACCTAAGTAGGAATTGACTTAATTTTTGATTATATATATCTTGTTTTTTACACACGAAGTAATTTTGACCTCATCGCTATAGTTGCGAGATGAAATATATCCACAGTAATGAAAAATCGAAATGAGTTTTTTTTATAAGAGGTAATCTGTAAGAGTAACCTGTTTTATGAAAATGTTCGATAAAGGTATCCAATTTTTGCAAAAATGTTGCAAATTTAAGTCCAAAGATACTCATTCGTTGTATAAGAAGAGGCATTATTCATTTGTAATCTATGTTGTAAGATAGGCAATAATGCTTACTCCTGGCTGGTTTGATTACTTTCGCAAAGACTGAGTAATGAATGTCATAATTTTTTATTAACAGTCAAATGTTAGGAATGAAGAGTTGTATCCAGACTCTACCCTTACTCTATGTTATATAAGGAGGGGATTCAGGAGCTCGGTTCCATTTAACACGCATAAACGTATTCTTCAAGACGGGCTTTTAGCAAAATCAGAACTCGAGTTTGAATTCTAACAGCCACAAGCTTGAGGTCTTCAATATTCCATAATCATAATCGGGGATTAAGTCTACCATACCCTAATAAACATTTTCATACTTAAAATTTGCCAAAACAACTACTTAAAAGGGAATTTTTAAAACTTTACTGTCCTATGCGTGAAGTGATAAAATCACCTTTTGAGATAGACTGTTTCTCTGAAAACTATCTTCCTACCACGAGCTCTGTTTCGGACATTGAAATTACAAAGAGAACAAACTTGTTGGATTTACAATTGATTGCATTTTAAAAAGTATAGTACACCAAAATATCAATTTCTTTTTAGACTCACCAAATGAAAATTCAACATCATAAATATTTTATAAATGTAATGCATAAAACATTCAACTCATAAAAAGGGAAAACTTTATTTCCTTAAGATAAATCTGTGTTTCTAAAATTGTTGCTTGCATGTACTATAAACATTTTAAACTTCAATGTAACATTCTAACAAGATATAATTATCGCATCAACTAACTACACAAAAAGTTTCAAAGAAAAAAAATTGGGGTTTACTTATATATGTATTACAAGCTGTGTTTGTAAGTAAAAAGGCCGAATTTATTATTATAATTATCATTATTAATACTCAAGTTCAAGGACCTTCTACTAACTCCCAAAAGGTCTATACATTTAGTGGAAATTTATATTTTGGTAATAAATTAAACTTCCAATCTTAATCAAGGAAATAGATACTTTTAAGAGTTTAAATGGCCCAAGATACTTAACTCTACAGGAAGCGTGAACTGGATATAGGCTTTAATAGCGTTTGTTGTCTAAGGATTAGATTGGGTGGTAATGATAAGCACTTGCTTCTCTAATGTAGTTTATAAACATTTACATAATTCAAACAAATAAATTGAAAAAATCAATTTTATTTTTAAACTTAAAAATTACGGAACAATTTTCCAAATATTTTTTTATTCTATAACTCTCTTTTTAAAATAAGAATTAGAACAAATATAAGGAATGCATATTACTTTACCTTAAAGAAACTTGTAAATAAAATGCAAACTTGTTAAATGTATTTCTCTGATATGTAGTTTTATTTAACACTAATTTTTTGCTTTAATTTTTAAGGACTATTTTTTTGTCCAGCTTTTCCATTGAATTTGAAGGAAAAATTGAAATGGGCCAAGCTCAAACTTGCGTATTGATGAAATTGATCGACATTTAAGAAATACACTAGATAAGAAGAGACAGTAGCGCACACAGGAATTTTTCAGGGGGAGTCCAGGGTCGAAATTCCACCATTCTTGTATCATGCTCCTTTTGATTTTGTCACTTTTCGGGAACAAAATGAGTAAAAAACTAGTTATTGAATAAATAATTAGCATTAATTAATAAAATTAATCATTAATAATAAATAATTAAATTTTACGTACTATATACTTAGAATTATAATCAATCGGAAAAAAAATCGAGGGGGATCCGGACATTTAAAACCGTGATAATGGAAACAGTGAAAAAAAGCGACTTTGAAAAATTAAGGATCTATGAAAAGAAATAAATGCATTGCCTCTCAAAAATTGATTAATTTTTTTTCTATCAAAATATGGATTCTTAACTTTTTTTTTTAATCGAAACACGAGCCTGTTCTAATTTTATTCCCTCTTTTCACACATGGCATTTAGTAACTTATGACACAATTACGATTTGGAACATGTGTTAACTACCGCTGTAGACAAGGTGCGTATGAACAGACAATCGCGGATCGTCCTCTACAAAGCATACACCACATGTTGGCGGATTCAGAGTTCGGAACAAAATCATTTAGCAATCGCGTCATGCTCACAGCTCCATGAGATGTAATACCATCCATAATACCTGTTATTAGAAGGCAGTGTGACTGCCTTTTGGTGTACCTCTCCCGCACGGAACATGTGGTGCATGGGGAACAGCGCAAGTATGGTGTAAGTCAACTAATCGGTGTCACGTTTGAATAGTTTGAGGGATAGCGAAAATACAACCTGCAAGACACATGAGGGGTTTTTGGGAAAGTGACATAAATGAATTGCTTCCTATATTGTTAACAAAAGCACATATGTTTTGGCATTAAGCATGATTTTTTTTTGAAGATTACGCAATATTTGAAATAGTTGTAATGGTTTGTCAATGTACCCACAATGCTGGGGTTTTTTTTCTTCAAATAAATCTACCTTGAGGCTTTTGTGATGAACCAAAATAAAAGTTTTACCTGATTTTGAAGTACTGTTAACCTACCAATTCATGTATGTTCTCCATTTACGCGTAGACAACAATACAAAAAATAAGGACAATTTATTTATAAGGATATTTAAGGATATTTTATCACTGGATCCTCGAAATATTTCCTTCATAACTCAACTTCCCTTTTAATACTTAAAAAAAAATATGCCAAACAGTTTTGACGTTCAAATGAACTAGAGAGGGAGGAGGGCTCCACAGGGGGTGTCCGATCCCCCCTCCATCACTCTTGATTTTTTTTTATTGTTTTTATGATATTATGTATGTAGTACGTAAAATAATTCCTAACAATGTCAGTTCTAATATAAATACAAAAATAAAATTTCTTTTATCTTTTTCTTTCCCTTCAAAAACAAACAGAATGCGAACATAAAACATCCTCATATTCTCAAAAGTAATTAAATATCTGTTATTAATCATTTAATTTTATTAATTAATGCTAATTATTTATTCATTAATACACTTTTTGCTGTGTTTTGATACCTACAGTCGATAAAATCAAAAGAATATGTTTGGAAGAGTATTGGGAGTATGATACGAAATATAAATTCATATATTTATGAATTGAAAAATAATGAACTGGCCTTAAAAAATGTAATTAATGTAAAGACTATTGTATTTTTATTTGTGTTATGAAGGTTTTTTAACATTCTCTACGTTTGCATAAACTTGAGCGGATTTTTTTTTTACGGCTAACAGTACGGTTACTATCTTAGTACTGGAAAAATATATAAAAAGTGAAAACAATTGTTTCTATTTTCATCTAAAAGAAATTTTACTTTCTTGAACATAACGACGTTGATTTATTGGAAAAAATGTAATATGTTATATTTGTAATTGATTCCATGCAAAATTAAAAATAAACATTCTTTGATCATTGTTTTAAACGGTTTAAAAATGATGAGTTAAAAAAACATCTTATATGTTAGTCTCTCAGGGCATTGGATTCATTATTTATTAATACGACGAAAAGTGAAAGAAACGTAGTTTATTTTTAAAACATTTTTTCTCAGATTGATTAAAAGAAAAAGAGTATTAAATATAATTTTCTTTAGAATTTACTGAAGGTTGCATTGATTTGAAGTTTTATCATACTAACGGTCATCTATTAAAATGGGCCAAAATAACAACAAAAAATAAAGAAATAATAAAAACAATTACTGAACAGACTAAGTCTCTTATAAATGCATCAACTGTACATTTTTATTAGGAGGAAGCAAAATTTCCCTTCATTGAAAAACAAGAACTGTACAGTGGCCCACACAGGGAGGAGGGAGACCAGTGGTTAGAATTTTCCCCACCACCGTTAATTTTTTTAATTGATCATGATCCTATGTGTATACTACGTAAAATAATTACAATTCTGGTAATTGAATTAACTATTTGTTATTAATAATTTATTTTATTAATTAATGCTAATTATTTATTCAATAATTTATTTTTACTCTGCCTTTGTTCCCGAAAATCAATAAAATCAAAAGAATATGTTTGGGGGGGATTGGTGCTTGATACAAGAAGTGGACTTTTGTCCCTGTACACCCCCGCCCCCCTCTTGAAAAATTCCTCTGTGAGACGCTGGAACTGTTTCATAAAAGGGAAGGAGGATTTGAAAGAATGAGAGAACTTTCCAGTACACTCTTTTTTATAACAAAATTTATGGCCGCGGTAGCCGAGTGGTATAGGTATCGGACCGTGGTTTGCTTTGTCACGGGTTCGAGCCCAGTACCACTAAAGACCCGCCGTGTAGGGCAGCGATGCACGTTAAATCTGTCGAGAGCTGAAACGTTCTCCCGTTGGTGTGGTGTGGTAGTTAGGAGAGGGGGGTGCCAGCTCAGGTGTCGTCCACGTTACTTGACCATGGTTCAAAATTACGTGGTCCGTCGCCAAAAGCCCTCGTGTAGCTGAACAGTACGACGTTAATATTCAATCAATCAATCAATAAC